ACCTCCAGTGTCAGTTTGGTGACGTCACGTGCACGAAACCAATTCAAGTTCTTTAGTTCTTTCATTTCCATACAAAGAATGTTGCTAACTATACTTCACTTTTGTTGCACTGACGAGAACTAATAAGTTCGGAACCAATCTGTAGCTAGCGACATTTAATGTACGGGAGAGCTTTTAATAATGCAACTAAAGTTCGTCGATTTTAATCTGATACTCCAAAGGAATGTGAGCTGTTGGCACTCTACATTAGAACGCCAATGTTCACAGGACGTCACACCTATTTTTGCCATGTGCTTCACCCCCTCGCTTCTCATACGGAAAGTGTCAGATTAAAAACGACGAACAATAGAACGTTCTCTAGAAATTTAAAGTCTAAGCAGGTACATTTCAATATTTCAATCTTTTGCTGCAGATTTGGCATATACACTTCCCAGCAAGGATCAAAAGCTTCAAACGAGTAGCAAATTCAACTAATAGACTTTCTAGTAACTTCAAAAAAAGTTTATTTGGATTAAGTACATTCTACGAATTTGAAGTTAAGAAACTCTAGTGAATCAAGAACAAGAAGTAGGTTCCTACAGTACCTACTATCTACCTAGAGGTGGTTAAACTCAAAGGCTTTTTGAAAAGTCTGAAAAGTTGGAGAGTTGGAACCATCTATGAATTTAATTTATTTCATTGGAGATCTATTGAAAAGTTGTGCAGCAAAATTCAACAAGTTCCAAATTCAATAAATTTGCTTGCCCTTATGGAATTGAATGTGTTTTAGGGTTTTCATTGGAACTAAACGCAGTGGAAACTTTTTCATAACGATTTGTTTCTTGGATGATGTGAACTCTGTATATGGAGTCGATAGTCGATGAGCAATTTATCTTAGATATGGTATAATAGAGAAATGCTAGCCTTAACATAATTTCAAATTAATCCATTGTCCTCCAGAAGAAACCAGTGAGATTCATCTAAAGGTTTCAACCATGAAGCCACTTTCCTCTACATTGTAAATTGACTTCTTGATCTTCAATCATAATGGGGAACATGATATTCCGTTGATACGGAGTTCATAGTAGAGGAACAATAATCTTCTTGCTTCCAGGGATTCAAAATACTTCTGAGTAAGTGCTTTGTTTTTTTTTATGTAACGTTTTTCATTACTTACAGTTTGTTTCTGTTTAATTTTTTCCTTACTTATCAGGTTTGATATAGTCGACATAAACATACACATGTAAAATGAAAATTGTTGCCAGAAATCCACTCAAAAGTTCATTCCAGTTTTGTTTTATCTACGATTAATTAGGCTTTTAGCCGACTGACTGTGTTTCAGTTTTAATGTTGTGTCTAATCTGCATAAAGGAATAGAAATATGATGATGGTAGGTGAGTAGAAACGCGTTGGAGCGTATAATTTGTTTGTTATTTAATGCATAAAGCTCGGTTATTTAAGAGCGCGACGTGTGTCTAGAAAAATCGACTATTAATTAAACGGCCGTCGTATATTTGAATATTTTATTACGATGTAAATGAGGGGTAAAGTGAACAACAACACACGTTTTCAGTGACAGTCAGTGGCGGCTCGTGACTATTTCAAGTAAGGAGGCTAATTACAGTATAGGATTTCATGAAATTCCTCGGAATTCCACTAAGATTTCAATTTCAAAATTCCATATTTTTTTTTTAACTTTACTAAAATTTTTCAAAATTTTACCACTGAAATATCCTGGAATTCCACAAAATTTTCATAAAATTTTTTGGAATTTCATGTAATTTCTTAAAAATTTCTGGGAATTCACTAAAATTTTATGAGAATATCCACGTTCATAACCGAAAATTTCTCGAAAGTCCAATGGAACTTCAAGGAATTTTCAAAATTTAATTTATTTTCATAAGAATTTTTCGGAATTTCACTGAAATTCTCTTTTAATACCCAGGAATTTCTGGGAATATTAATGAAGTTTCAAGTAATTTCTTAAAAATTCATCGAAATATATTGAAATTTCATGTTATTACATGGTAATTTTTCGGAATATCACCGAAATTCCATGTTTTTAGCTGGAAATTTCTCGGCATTACTAAAATTCAGTAAAAACTGAAATTTCATGTTGGGAATTTCGGTGTAATTTCATGTAATTGTTTAAAATTCCTCCATGTAATTCATTTAGGATTTCGTGTAATTCGATCGGAATTTCACTGAAATTTCAAGTAATTCGAGAGGAATTAAAATTTAATGTGAATTCTATGGAAACTCCGCAAAAATTTCACATCTAATTCCTTTTTCAGAATAACATAATTATTCTACCAAAATTCCACTAAATTATGGAATTCTGAGATTTTAATAGATTTTTGGGGATTCCAAAGGATATTTGGGAATTTTAAAGGAAATATTTTTCAGAAATGTCAATGATTGGGTTTAAAATAACCTATAAATCGAGATTTGATAAAAACATATGGCAACGCTGCTCATGATACAACAAACGTCAAAAAATTGAAATTTCAAACCTTGGGTTTTTTTGACAAACGATACAAAATGACGTCTTTTTGTTTCAAATATTACGGCCCGAAGGGCCGGAGTATGAAAAATCAGTTAACAATGAACGGGTTCGTTCGGATAAATGTCACCTGTCAAATTTGACACATGTTCGACTTTTTTCCCGCTCTACTATAAAAGCTACGAAAATCAAACCACGGTACAAGGCAGGTTCGCGACGCCAACTATCGATTTGTGTCAAAAAAAAATTGACAGCTGTCTACGTCAAAAAAGTTTTTTTTTTTAGTTTGCGAATTTCGAGAAAAAAAGTGATAGAAAACCATCCCCGGACCCCAAAAACCTTAAATAAAAATTCCAAAAAAAAAAACCAACGAAAATAACATTCCAAAACCTACTTGATAAAAGTAAAATTTTTCTCACTTACCCCGTTAAAACACTGGAAATTTTTGGTGCAAAATGAAGAAAACTCAAAGCCTCGTACTTTAAATCGGTTTTTCCGACCAGAAAAGCCCTGGAAAAGCGGACAAATTTAAAGAAAAACCTCTGAAAATGACATTCCAAAGCCTACTTAATGAAATTTGAGTTTTTGTCACTTACCCCATTGGAAAACTGGGAATTTTCAGCACAAAATGTAGGAAATTCAAAGCCTCGTATTTCAAATCGGGTTTCTTGACTGAAAACGGCTTGGAAAAGTGGAAAATTCGAGGAAAAACTGAATAGAAATGTAAACATGTCAATTAAAAATTGCCGACTGTCAAAACTGGCAAATGACATTTATTACAAAACCTATTTGAAGTTGGTACAAACGGTGTTGCCACATCGAAACTTCAAAAAAAAACATTTTAAATGGGATTTTGTTATTTATGTCATTTTAAAACTGGACATTTTTGCTAGAAAATGAAGAAAACTCAAAGCCTCGTATGTTAAATTACCTTTTTCCATTGAAAAGCCCCGGAAAAGTGAAAAACTCGAGGAAAAACTGGCAAAAAATTACAAGGCGTCACTTCAAAATGGCCAACTAAAAGCAACGTTGCCACATCTCATTTCGGAAAACAAAAATAACAATTTAAAAGGGTTTTTTGTTTAAAATTCAATTTAATAATTAATTAATAATGATTATAATAATTAAAATTCCCCAAATAAATTAGAGGAAACTTGTTTTTAGTTTAATTTCAATGAAAATGACATTTAAATGTTTACTTATTGATTATAGTGAGTGAGACAAAGACAATGATAAAGTAGTATATGTTTGCAAAAACCACCGTTTTCTGAAAAAAATAAAAATCTTAAGAAAACCAACATTGCAAAGCCAATTTGATAAAACTAAAGTTTTTGAATATTCCTGACTCTTTGATCGGACGTTAGAAATCGCATTTTAAATACTCCCGGTTTTCAATTAGCTCTAAATTATCCGCTCACCGATAGAATTATAAACTAGGCCCCGTTATTAAAATAACTCTAGCCCTTCGGGCTCGTATTACTCCGGCCCTTCGGGCTCGTATTACTCCGGCCCTTCGGGCTCGCATATAACTCCGGCCCTTCGGTCTCGCATATAACTCCGGCCCTTCGGGCTCGCATATAACTCCGGCCCTTCGGGCCGGTATTACTGAGTCAGGAATAAAAAATTGAGATTGAATTTTCAATTTTTTGGGAGAGGTTTAGCCTCCCCTGCCTCCTTTGACGAGCCGCCACTGGTGACAGTATTAATTTTAGAGAGAGGATGCAAGGATACTGGAAAAAATATAAACAAATTTTAGAGAAGTCGAAAGAAAAGCATGGTTGAAAATAAGTGTATACAGGAAAAAAAGTTAAACATTAAAAATATAAAGGATAACGCACACCTAACTTTTTGGGCTCTATGATGATTGTAGAGGATTTAGTTCTCGACAACTTTTGAATGGGACGAAATCTTGTAGGTATTACCAAAGTTTTTGTGATATGAGCGTGGGAAGATAAACTTTTTGTGTGGAGAGTATACGAAATACTGGTGTTTATCAGTCAAAATACTGACAGGTTCACTAGCATCAGTATTTTGTATACCTACTCACCACAAAAAAAGTTGCAAAAAAGTTCATCTTTCAATGCCCATATCTCCAAGACCGTAATATAAGGTTTTGTCCCATTTAATAAAATTTGTTGAGAATCAAATCCTCTACAACATATCAAAAAATGGGCAAAATCCATAGAGCCCAAAAATCCCGTCAGGTGTGCATTATCCTCTACAAGCAAGATATACAACTGAATATTAATATATAACGTTTGTATATGGTAAATAAAAGCAATATAAGAGTGTGCAAGGACTCATAGCTGGCTTAAGGGTCCAGGATCCTATAAAATGGACTTATTGGGGACCAATTTTATTCAAATATGCGGACAATACCTACAGTTTTTAGACATTACACCTTAAGTAAAGAAAATTGTAACCAATGACATAACATAGTTACTCACATAATTATATCAATATAATTATTTGAAAATTGAGTAAATATTTTTCCAAAATAAAATACCAAAGTTCTTACCCTTAACGGCCTAAAATCCGCCATACGTTTAAAATGTAAATCCAAAAAACTCAAGTTCTTATTTGAAAAAACACCGGCCCCCAAACTCTCGCCTGAACCGTACGTACATAATTTTCTCACGTAAAAAAGCGGCCAAATGGTATCCTGAGACCCCGTCAAAACCTTACGGAAGATGAGACGCGACTGAGACGAGCCAAATAGCGCGCGTTTATTTTCGACTATTGGATGTTGAGAAGTTTTTTGTATGTAGTTTGTACGATTGCGCCAACGAATTTTGATTTTTTTCTACTACTGTCACTTTATTTATTATCCAAAGTTTTCACTATCACTAACAACAGAAAACAATTTTTTGTAAAATCTTCCTCAAAAAACCAATACCGTTCGGAAGCACCTTTGACGAACGCTCACAAGAAACTAAACATCGCGGTTGTTCCGAAAGGCTACTTCCGCTTCTGACCTTAAATATTCTAATTGTATATTCGATTTGTGCACTATCGGAATACTGAAGTGCCTGAAGACCGCACTACAAGAAGTGGAAGTCGGGTTGTACACGTAACGTAGCAGCAGTCAAAGTAAAAAAGGCCAAATGAAGAACTTGAGGGTCTGTTGAAAGGCATGTAGGGGCCCGTAGTGTCATTAGCCTTATTTTCGTTGGTAGTTTGTACAAGCCAACCCCTCGTTGGTTCCCTTAGTAACTTTAGGGAGGCTTACTTGAACACAAACATAAATTTAAAATAGATTTTGAATTTGAGAAGATTGTGTGTAAATAGTCGACATATGCATATATTTAATGGACTGCAATGTACAATTTCTTATTGCCTGATTCAAATATCTAGTCTTAGGCTGGATAAAAAGATTTTGACCTTATCAAGTGCCAAAGACAGTGAAAACTGAAAGTATATATGCATAAAGAGTAGAGGCTACTATGGCTATGAGAAACGAAAAAATCGAACAAAATCTCAATATAATAAATTACAGGGGATGTTGTCCAAGGTGATCATTTCTAATTCTTGACACCATCTTCTTTTTCGTTAATTTTTATTCTACTAGTCAGTGCACTTCTGGATCCTGGATTCACAATCAGAATATTTATTCTTTTAGTGACCCCAAGACACTTACTGTACTGGAAGCGTTTTTCCAGATTTTCATTTCAAGTCCAAAAAATCGGGGTGGAAAGTTTTCATTGGCCCACCCTGTATTCTATCACGTAGTTAATTTTTTTTGCTTCTAACTTATTCATATTTATTACGTTATCTGTTTACCTTTTTTTGTGGGGGTTTTTGTCGGACAAAGGGATTTAAATTTATACGGATTTAGTCGAGTACAAATCGCCGGCACCGTCAGTTGCGTCCGAGAATTATCGATATTTTTTTCTACACAAGCTTTAGATTATTGTGTCGTGTGCCCATAGTGTACCAATTGACTTCAGGATTTTGGTAAGTACCTAGTACCAACAATTATTTTTTGGTAATTGGGATTTATTGAATCTTGAATAAACAACCCTTGATTTTTCTAATGTCTGAATTTCGAACAATCCAACTTATTTTTTTTTTAATTTAAATTGTAATTCATTTGATTCTCTATAACTATTGGCAATTAGTAAAATATACAGGGTGTCCAAAAATTAGTTTTCCAGTATCTATTTTCATCATTAATTTTCTTTTTTTAATTTGGCTTTCCAAAAGTGCGTTAATGAAGAAAGTATAGATGAGCTTGTGTGAAGGATGAATGATCCACTGTTGTGAGATAGAATGCTGGGTTCTGGTTACATAGTACCTATGTAGGTATTGTTGGAATAGAACGCTGTATGCTGGATGTAGATACTGTTGTAATAAAATGCTGGAGTGTCCCAAAAAAATTGATTTTTGTCCACAATTTTGCTGTTTAAGCCACTTTAAATTCATAGCTATTCTGTCACTGGAAATTATCCAAAGATGTTTTTGGGTCTTAAGTCTTAATTATTGTAAATTTCAATAAGCCACTACCACTAGCAACAACCCAACTAACCCAACACAACTTACCCATATTAACACCTTGGGGTAAATTGCTAGTGGAAGTCCACTAAACATTTTCAGCTAAAAATCTACAGGTGCATTACACAATAATACTCTTTTATAAAGATAGTATAGCTATCCAGTTATGTAGCTGTATTTTTCAAACAGGCAATTTGAAAGTTTTCAATTTTTTTCAGACACTCATGGAGGTGTTGGGTGCACTTTTGGAAAGCCAGTCATTAACGTACATCAATAAGCGTTTTCAATATATTTTAAGCCTTGGAACCTTTAACATAGAGTTGTCTTAATGTTTTTCTACTAAATTTAACCTTATTTTTCTGGCTGGTGAAGTCAGAAATTTGAAAAACTCAAAGAAATAATTTTTGATGTAAGACTCTATAGAAATCTGACTCAAAGTTTCAACTTTGAAGGCTCATATCTTCAGAACCGTTTCAAATATTGGAATAAAATTTGTTTCATCTTGAAGAGCATCAAATTCTGATTCAGAATAGTTATTCTAACATTGAAATATATGGAATATTAAACCGAGTAATAGATGATTTTGTGAAATCATATCGAATAAATGAAATTTTTAGAGACCAATAAGTGTTTTCAATTTGTTTCAAGCCTTGAAACCTTTAACATAGAGTTGTCACAATGTTTTTCTACTAAATTTGACCTTATTTTCCGAATGGTGAAGTCAAAAATTTGAATAACTCGAAAAAATAATTTTTGATGTAGAATCAAAGGAGCTCTATGAAAATCTGACTCAAAGTTTCAAATTTGGAGGCTCATATCTCAGAACTGTTTCAAATATTGAAATGAAACTTGTTTCATCTTGAAGAGTATTAAATTCTGATTCAGAATAGTTATTTTTACATTGAAATATATGAAATATTAACGGAGTAATAGATGATTTTGTAAAGTCATGTCGAATAAATGAAATTTTTAGAGACTATTTGCATGTGGCGTCGGGCAAAACTGCCCGACAGTGATGTTTCCATTTAGGACATACAGGGTGACAATTTGACACTTAGACAAAAAATACTATATGAAGAAGATCTCATTTATTTATTTATTTATTTATTAAGAAAACATTTTGCTGTAAATGTTTTTAATAACAATTATTGAAGTTGCGTTTCACTGATTATCCAGAGCAACAAATTAGGATTTGATCATATCTTTTTGGTAATTGGTGTCCCCTGGGGAGGCCGTCCACCATAATAGGTTAGGATCCCATTTGTTGCATTGAATATACTATATACGGTAAGTGTAGCAGTGGGGCACTACCGAATACCGGCGAGAAATGGTTGAATTATAATTTGGTGTTGGGTGTCAGCTGCACAACGTAAATATTCAGTCTTTAATGGGGCTTTAATAGAATAGCTGAATGCTCTTCAACTTTGCCGCAGGCAAAATTGTTTTTGTGTTTTCTAGATGAAAAGTCAATTGATCATATTCTATATTGTAGCTGAAATGAAATGGTCACGGCTTCACAGGGGTGTTTCTCATTTTAGAAAAATCATTAGGAGGGGGGGGGGGGAAAGGCCCATCTCCAAAACAGGAGGGGTATATTGAAAATAGCATATAGGAAAAAAATTGAAATAAGATAGTTTTTATACTTATAGAATCTTATCTGCTATACCTGAGCGGCTAAAGTAGACCTTTTGAAACTCATGGTCATTGGGGCGAATTTACCTGTATACATAATCCAACAGGTTATATATTTAAGATCTTCCTAATAGTATCTTTTGTCTAATAAATAAATATATCTGATTGCTGCTTTTCTAATTGTCACCCTGTATATGCTCGACCTACACTTAAGCGTAATCATAGCTGCCCGACGTACGTAAAAACTCAAAGGGATTGAATTGAGTTATTATTAATGGAGTTATGACTTATCTAAAATAATGATGTTTTGTAAAGTAATACATACTCTACAAACAATTTTTTCACTCAAAAACTGAAGTGAGTGGAGAGTTGAATTTTTTGAGGACTTTTTCTTGCTTTGTGCATTAAATTTTCCAGATCGCAGGTGGATTAATAGAGATGGTGTATGTAATCCACCAGCAATCCAATGCACGAGCTACGTTAATCACCCTGTATATACATGAACAATTTTTTCTGCCGCTGTGTTATTGTTTTCAGGTGAGCTCCCCTGTAAACAAACAGAATCCAGAAGTCGTCGGATGACTCTAAGAGTCTATAATAAGAATCTTCTTCTAGACGGATTTTTGACAAAGGTAAGTACATATTCATCAATTTCCCATTTTATTATTTTTCACTGAAAAAGTTTGAAATTTTAGTCTGATGATCTCCTAAGTTTCCTCTTTTTCTCCTAAAAATTTCACAATTTTCTCTCTAGTAGTTTTCCAGAAAAAATTAAATTGTATAAAAGTGCATTTTCGTTTGATATCCATAAAAATTGTGTCACTTCTATTTCTTAGGTAAGCCGTTACCCAATAAAGTCCAGAATCATTCTGAGCCCAAGTAGAATATTATAGGCTATTAATTATTTCTGGTAAAAATCCTAATTGTGATTTGTAAGTGCAAGAAAATAGTACATTTTTCACATAAACCTCGATTATCCGAGCTCTGGATTAATCGAGCCAGTCTAAAGACCCAAAAATCCGAGGTCCATACTCCGTATTAACCGAGTTTCTAGAATATACCATACATAGTATAAAAGTTCTGAGTCCTATTTAGCCCTTAGACTGATACCCCAGAAAATAACTTCTGTTTATAACTGGCCAGTCACCTACACTCTTCATAGGTATACATATATGGGATTATCCGAGCTTTCAGTTATCCGAGGTCCACGTTACTTTGGATAACCGGGGTTCTATTGTACCTACCTACATACGAGCTTTAGTATTTTGGGTGTTGGATATTGAAGGTGAATAAATAAGTAATTTTTAATATAAAACATTGAATTTTCACTAACATAAAGTTGTTTTTCCAGACATCCCTTTTCCAAATTTTGAACCAAGAAGTGATGAGCTGGTTTTGGTCATAGATATGATACAAATGGATCAATAAAGGCTAAGTTTATCATTACTTTGGACATTGTACAGCCACTCTAGACATGAGACAAATAACTAGGATTTGTGGACATTGAAACAAATGACTGACAATGGTAGACGTAGCCACAACCGACTGGACAATGATGGACATGACT